GAGGGATTGGTAGAGAGGGGTGGAGCATGGAAACCAGGGGAGGGATTGGCAGAGAGGGGTAAAGCATGGAAACCAGGGGAGGGATCGGCAGAGAGGGGTGGAGCATGGAATCCAGGGGAGGGATCTGCAGAGAGGGGTGGAGCATGGAAACCAGGGGAGGGATCTGCAGAGAGGGGTGGAGCATGGAATGGAATAGTTTTGCGGTGTCATTGGTGAGGAAGGGGCGTATTTTGGAGATGTTACGAAGGAGAAGGCGGCAGGATATGGATAGTGATTGGATGTGGGATGAAGGAGAGGTCAGAGTGCAGGATTACACCTAGCACCTTAGTATGGGAGGGAGGGATAGATGTGACATCAACACATATACTGCATGTACCGAAACACAGGCCTCGGGGGCGGCAGCAGGGCTCGGAGGGGTAGCAGCGGTGTGGAGTCCCCCGACGCCTGGAACATACAGTCCCGGGCGCCGGGTGGTAATTTGCCTTCTACATTTAGTCCTGCTTTGGGAAGGCGGGGCTAAATGTAGAGTGGGGGAATCCGCTTGTTCGTTTACAAGTGATCATCCTCCCCCCCGCACCTACCTCTCTCCTCTGGTTCCGTCCTCCCCCCGGCCGCCCAGCCTCTCCTCACTGACAGCCGATGCAGGGAGCAGAGCGTCAGAGTTAAAACCCCGCCGCTCCGTGTACACAGTGAGAGGGGAGAGCTGTGCTAGAACCCCTTAAAGAAAACATGTAGAAAACGCTATACGTCCCCCCTGCTTAGGTTATATAGGGTGCAGGAACCCGCCAGCCAATCAGAGATAGTCTCCAACTGAATGTACTGGAATGTAAGCTAACCCAACATGTGACAACCATACCAACCCCCTGACCTCCTCTCCTCCCTTCCCCTGACCTCATTGGCTCCACTGCTTTCCCCTGACCTCATTGGTTCCTCTACCTTCCCTAGACTCCTTTAGCATCTCTACCTACCTCAGTCCTCATTGGTTCCTCTACCTCCTCACCTGCCCTTGACCTATCCTAAGGCTGGAAAGTTCCCCCCACTCATGCCATGCTGTTTTTAAAGGAACAGTACACTCCTGTAAATGCCATCAGGGGAGAACACAGGAACTGACATGGCCGTTTACATATTTGTAAGGCACATGTTCCAGAGCTGTCATTTTAGTCCCTACTACTAGCATGCAACCAGTGAAGTCTGAAAACTCTTAGAGGCTTACAGCAGCCGAGTGAATAACCGAGTGGAAGTGAACTGAACCGAACGGCATTCTGCTATTCACTTCGGCTCGGTACGGCGGGCTGCGGTCATGCTCACCATCTTCGGCTGAGCCGACGCTCCAGCGGTTCACTGCTATTCACATATATTCTCATAGGGGGCCGGATGGCAGCGAGTAATTAGCCAAATGGTGCCGGGTGGCAATCGGCTCAGCTGTTCTGCTCACTACCTCCGTGGGGTCCCCCCTCCCAAACCATACCGGGCCCTCTAGGTCTGTTAGGAATTTTAAGGAGCAACTCCACCCCCAAAAATGGGGGGAAATGTGAGGTCCCCCTAAAATTAACAACCAGACCCTTGATCTGAGCATAGACCTGGCAGGGCAGAAAATGGGGAAGGACAAGCGAGAACCCCCCCCCTCCAACATACCGGGCCACATGCCCTCAGCACTGGGAGGGTCGCCCCTGGAAAATCACCTTGTCCGTGTGCCAATGGGGACAAGCGCGTCTTCCCAGCTCTGTGATCTCTTCCCACACCCTCCAGTACCAGACACAGCTCTGTGATCTCTTCCCACATCCTCTAGTACCAGACACAGCTCTGTGATCTCTTCCCGCATCCTCCAGTACCAGACACAGCTCTGTGATATCTTCCCACACCCTCCAGTACCAGACACAGCTCTGTGATCTCTTCCCGCATCCTCTAGTACCCGGCACAGCTCTGTGATCTCTTCCCACACCCTCCAGTACCAAACACAGCTCTGTGATCTCTTCCCACACCCTCCTGTACCCGGCACAGCTCTGTGATCTCTTCCCGCACCCTCCTGTACCAGGCACAGCTCTGTGATCTCTTCCCGCACCCTCCTGTACCAAGCACAGCTCTGTGATCTCTTCCCGCACCCTCCTGTACCAGGCACAGCTCTGTGATCTCTTCCCGCCCCCTCCAGTACCAGACACAGCTCTGTGATCTCTTCCCGCACCCTCCAGTACCAGACACAGCTCTGTGATCTCTTCCCGCACCCTCCAGTACCAGACACAGCTCTGTGATCTCTTCCCGCCCCCTCCAGTACCAGACACAGCTCTGTGATCTCTTCCCGCACCCTCCAGTACCAGACACAGCTCTGTGATCTCTTCCCACACCCTCCAGTACCAGACACAGCTCTGTGATCTCTTCCCACACCCTCCAGTACCAGACACAGCTCTGTGATCTCTTCCCGCACCCTCCAGTACCAGACACAGCTCTGTGATCTCTTCCCACACCCTCCAGTACCAGACACAGCTCTGTGATCTCTTCCCACACCCTCCAGTACCAGACACAGCTCTGTGATCTCTTCCCACACCCTCCAGTACCAGACACAGCTCTGTGATCTCTTCCCACACCCTCCAGTACCAGACACAGCTCTGTGATCTCTTCCCACACCCTCCAGTACCAGACACAGCTCTGTGATCTCTTCCCGCATCCTCCAGTACCAGACACAGCTCTGTGATATCTTCCCACACCCTCCAGTACCAGACACAGCTCTGTGATCTCTTCCCACACCCTCCAGTACCAGGCACAGCTCTGTGATCTCTTCCCACACCCTCCAGTACCAGACACAGCTCTGTGATCTCTTCCCGCATCCTCCAGTACCAGACACAGCTCTGTGATCTCTTCCCACACCCTCCAGTACCAGACACAGCTCTGTGATCTCTTCCCACACCCTCCAGTACCAGACACAGCTCTGTGATCTCTTCCCGCACCCTCCAGTACCAGACACAGCTCTGTGATCTCTTCCCGCACCCTCCAGTACCAGACACAGCTCTGTGATCTCTTCCCGCACCCTCCAGTACCAGACACAGCTCTGTGATCTCTTCCCGCACCCTCCAGTACCAGACACAGCTCTGTGATCTCTTCCCGCACCCTCCAGTACCAGACACAGCTCTGTGATCTCTTCCCGCACCCTCCAGTACCAGACACAGCTCTGTGATCTCTTCCCGCACCCTCCAGTACCAGACACAGCTCTGTGATCTCTTCCCGCACCCTCCAGTACCAGACACAGCTCTGTGATCTCTTCCCGCACCCTCCAGTACCAGACACAGCTCTGTGATCTCTTCCCGCACCCTCCAGTACCAGACACAGCTCTGTGATCTCTTCCCGCACCCTCCAGTACCAGACACAGCTCTGTGATCTCTTCCCGCACCCTCCAGTACCAGACACAGCTCTGTGATCTCTTCCCGCACCCTCCAGTACCAGACACAGCTCTGTGATCTCTTCCCGCACCCTCCAGTACCAGACACAGCTCTGTGATCTCTTCCCGCACCCTCCAGTACCAGACACAGCTCTGTGATCTCTTCCCGCACCCTCCAGTACCAGACACAGCTCTGTGATCTCTTCCCACACCCTCCAGTACCAGACACAGCTCTGTGATCTCTTCCCGCATCCTCTAGTACCAGACACAGCTCTGTGATCTCTTCCCACACCCTCCAGTACCAGACACAGCTCTGTGATCTCTTCCCGCATCCTCTAGTACCCGGCACAGCTCTGTGATCTCTTCCCGCACCCTTCTGTACCCGGCACAGCTCTGTGATCTCTTCCCGCACCATTCTGTACCCGGCACAGCTCTGTGATCTCTTCCCGCACCCTCCAGTACCAGACACAGCTCTGTGATCTCTTCCCGAACCCTCCAGTACCCGGCACAGCTCTGTGATCTCTTCCCACACCCTCCAGTACCAGACACAGCTCTGTGATCTCTTCCCGCACCCTCCAGTACCAGACACAGCTCTGTGATATCTTCCCACACCCTCCAGTACCCGGCACAGCTCTGTGATCTCTTCCCACACCCTCCAGTACCCGGCAAAGCTCTGAGATCTCTTCCCGCACCCTCCAGTACCCGGCACAGCTCTGTGATCTCTTCCCACACCCTCCAGTACCCGGCACAGCTCTGAGATCTCTTCCCGCACCCTCTTGTACCCGGCACAGCTCTGTGATCTCTTCCCGCACCCTCCATCAGGAATGAAGATGTAACCAATCAAAACTCATACCTTTGGTCAGGTGACTGCAGTAAGCTGAGATCTGATTGGTTGGCTTTGTATGAAGAACTTTCCTGTCAATGGGAGATAAAAATCTAACTCTGACGTCTTCTCTTCTTTTACAGAGCCGATCATCACAGGTAAGTGGCAGAATTATGAATTTTATATGTTTCAGTCATACCCTCCTAATGCCCCCTGTCGTGTCCCCCACACTCCTCCTTTACATACTCCACCGGCCTTCCTCCATCCAGGTACACTACATCCACTGGCCTCCATCCATCCAGGTACACTACATCCACTGGCCTTCCTCTATCCAGGTACACTACATCCACCGGCCTTCCTCCATCCAGGTACACTACATCCACCGGCCTCCCTCCATCCAGGTACACTACATCCACTGGCCTTCCTCCATCCAGGTACACTACATCCACTGGCCTTCCTCCATCCAGGTACACTACATCCACCGGCCTTCCTCCATCCAGGTACACTACATCCACCGGCCTTCCTCCATCCAGGTACACTACATCCACCGGCCTTCCTCCATCCAGGTACACTACTCACCTCCTCGTAGAATGTCAGTAGGTTGGTCTGGCAGGAACGGTCCTTCATAGATCCGATTATCACTTATTATATCATTGACACAAGCCACTAAATATTCCTTTATCTGTCCCTCTAACAGTCTCCATACTATTGATGTGATTGATTTGTGTCTTTGTAGATGGGGGACTTTGGATGAACATAACCGGTCACAATGAGGTCCACGTGGTGTATAATAGTTTGTTGGCAGATCTGGAGCTGCTGAGGTCGTGGTGGGTGACGAAGTTTGTTCCCTCCGTCTATACCGTGGTTCTCCTCGTGGCTCTTCCTCTCAATGTTATGGCGATCATTATCTTCCTGGTGATGGTGAAGGTGAAGAAGCCGGCCGTGGTGTACCTGCTGAACCTCGCCACTGCTGATGTCCTCTTTGTCAGTATCCTTCCTTTCCACATCGTGTACCGGTTCTCGGGGAATAACTGGCTGATGGGGGAGGGGATGTGCCGGTTTGTCATCGCCGCGTTTCAAACCAACATGAATGGATCCATCCTGCTGATGACAAGTATCAGTGTGGACCGCTTCCTGGCACTGGTGTACCCGGTCCGGTCTCTTCCATGGCGCACAGTGAGACGATCCTGGCTGGCGTGTTGCTGCATCTGGACGATATCGGTGGCCTCCACCGTGCCGATTATTATAATGCAGCAAACCCAACCCATTCCGGCAGCAAGGATCACCACCTGTTATGATATTCAGTATGCCGAAGCTCTTCACAGGTTCCACGTTTATTACTATTTCCCCTTTTATCTCTCACTTTTATATTTCTTACCTTTAATTGTGACAACTTTCTGTTACATTGGAATCATCCGCCGCCTCAGCGCAGCCTCCATTAAGGGCGCACAGAAGAGAACCCGAGCCGTCCTCGTGTCTGCAGTGGTGCTGTGCGTCTTTGTCCTGTGTTTCGGCCCCTCCAACGTCATCCTTCTGCTCCATTTTCTTCAGGTCTCTAAAGAAGCCACCAACTCCCTGTACATAGTGTACATCCTCGGGGTCGGTGTCAGCAGTGTCAGCTCCTGTATGGATCCTCTCATCTATTACTATTCATCTTCTCAGTGGCAGAGACACGTCTACAGCCTGCTGGGATGTGGGAGAGAAGATCCACCACAAGCAAGGCAGCACCGCGTCCTCCTCCACAAGGCCCAGACAGAGGGAAGTCTCAGCTCCAAGAAAACTGAAACCTCGAGGTTCATATAATTGTTCAGAATGTCAGAGCGAGAAACCATCGTTATGTCCTTCACTGATGATAAATGAGGAGCTTCCACTGTACACCGATCAGCCAGAACATGCTGAGCACCCCCTAATATTGAGGAGGTCCCCCTTCTCCTGACCCATCCAGGCATGGACGTCACTAGACCTCTGAAGGTATGCTGTGGTGTCTGGATGACCCCCCCAATATTGTGGAGGTCCCCCTTCTCCTGACCCATCCAGGCATGGACTTCACTAGACCTCTGAAGGTATTTTGTGGATTGAAGATGACCCCCCAAAAACATTTTTTAGTGGATCCCCTTTTACTGACCGGTCCAGACACGTACTCCACTAGACCTCTAAAGGTATGCTGTGGTATCTGGATGACCCCCCTAATATTGAGGTCCCCCTTCTCCTAAACCCATCCAGATATGGACTCCACTAGACCTCTGAAGGTATGCTGTGGTTTCAAGGTGACCCCCCTACCCAAAAAAAAAATATTGAGTAGGTCCCCTTTTTCCTGACCCGTCCGGACATGGGCTCCACTAGACCTCTGAAGGGATGCTGTGGTATCTGGATGACCCCCCTAATATTGGGGAGGTCCCCTTTCTCCTAATCCATCCAGGCATGGACTCCACTAGATCTCTGAAGGTATTTTGTGGTTTCAAGGTGAACCCCCCAAAAAAACTATTGAGTAGGTTCCCCCTTTCCTGACCCCTCCAGACATGGACTCCTCTACACCTCTGAAGGTATGCTGTGGTTTCAAGATTACCTCCCCCCCAAAATATTGAGTAGACCCCCATTCTCCCGACCCATCCAGTCATGGACTCCATAGAGCTCTGAAGGTATGCTGTGGTACACTATATTGCCATAACTATTCTGCATGCCGAGGTGCTTCATCCTATACACCGGGGGCCACGGAGGGGATTGGAACACCTGAATCCAATGATTGGGAGGGGGAGGGGCCCAATACTTTGGGCAATATAGTGTATATTACCACACACACACACTTCCAATCATCATTGTAATATAACCCCCCCCACGCCACCTCTCAGTGCTCACCATGTTCTGGATGATCGGTGTATGGTAATGTTAGGTCCTTTATATGGCAGGTTTACCTGCTATAAATTACTTTGCAGAAAGAGGTTATTAGAACAGTCCTTGGGGAGGAGATATCGGAAGGTCCTTGGGAGGTGATATCGGAAGGTCCTTGGGAGGAGATATCGGAAGGTCCTTGGGAGGAGATATCGGAAGGTCCTTGGGAGGTGATGTAGGAATGGCCTTGGGAGGTGAAGTAGGAATGGCCTTGGGAGGTGATGTTGGAATGCCCTTGGGAGGTGATGTCGGAATGTACTTAGAAGGTGATGTTGGAATGTCCTTGGAAGGTGATATCGGAAGGTCCTTGGGAGGTGATGTAGGAATGGCCTTGGGAGGTGATGTCGGAATGTCCTTGGGAGGTGATGTTGGAATGCCCTTGGGAGGAGATGTCGGAATGCCCTTGGGAGGTGATGTCGGATTGTCTTTGGAAGGTGATGTCGATGTCCTTGGGAGGAGATATTGTAATGTCCTTGGGAGGTGATGTCGGAATGTCCTTGGGAGGTGATGTAGGAATGGCCTTGGGAGGTGATGTTGATGTCCTTGGGAGGAGATGTTGGAATGTCCTTGGGAGGTGATGTTGGAATGTCCTTGGGAGGTGATGTTGGAATGTCCTTGGGAGGTGATGTCGGAATGTCCTTGGGAGGAGATGTTGGAATGTCCTTGGAAGGTGATGTCGGAATGTCCTTGGGAGGAGATGTCGGAATGTCCTTGGAAGGTGATATGGGAAGGTCCTTGGGAGGTGATTTCGGAATGTCCTTGGGAGGTGATGTCGGAATGTCCTTGGGAGGTAATGTCGGAATGTCCTTGGGATGAGATGTCGGAATGTCCTTGGGATGTGATGTCGGGATGTCCTTGGGAGGACTTGGGAGGAGATGTCGGAATGTCCTTGGGATGTGATGTCGGGATGTCCTTGGGAGGACTTGGGAGGACATATCGGAATGTCCTTGGGAGGAGATGTCGGAATGCCCTTGGAAGGTGCTGTGCAGTCTGTAGAGGGAATGTCTCCTCATATTATACAGCGAGACATTTCAGAGTCCGGGTCACGGTCAGGCTGGTGAGGAGTTCCAATATAACAGAAATTTGTGTCTCTTGTACCTGTTACATGTGTTGTACAATGATATCTCCTGAGGGGTCCTATGTGGGAACTGTCCGAGACTGGAGCTTCACTTACTAGGTCCACCCTCCATGTGCACATGCTATTCCATCTACTTTTACCTAGTAACGCATGTGCAGCTCAGTGTACAGTCTCGGCATGATTCTGTGCCGGGACAAAGTAAGTCCTGCAGGAGTTGGGGGATCACAATTTTGCAGTTTACTTCCATTTTGTTGTCATATAAAACACTGGAGTGGCAGCGGCAATTGTTCATAAACTTAGAGATAAGACCGGGCCCACGTCTCCCCCATATGAAAGTCCATAGAGCAGAGAAGCAATGACACACAACCAATAATAACGCACAACCAATGATAACGCACAACCAATAATAACGCACAGCCAGTGATAACGCACAGCCATTGATGACGCACAGCCAGTGATGACGCACAGCCAGTGATGACGCACAGCCATTGATGACACACAGCCATTGATGACACACAGCCATTGATGACGCACAGCCATTGATGACGCACAGCCATTGATGACGCACAGCCATTGATGACACACAACCAATAATAACACACAACCAATAATAACGCACAGCCATTGATGACAAACAGCCATTGATGACACACAACCAATAATAACGCACAGCCATTGATGACAAACAGCCATTGATGACACACAACCAATAATAACGCACAGCCATTGATGACACACAGCCATTGATGACGCACAGCCATTGATAACGCACAACCATTGATGACACACAACTATTGATGACGCACAGCCATTGATGACGCACAGCCATTTAATAGGTTGGACTTGATGGACTAATGTCTTTATTCAACCTCAAATACTATGTAACTATATGTAACTATGTAACTATGACACACAGCCATTGATGACACACAGCCAGTGATGACGCACAGCCATTGACAACGTACAACCATTGATAATGCACAACCGTTGATGACACACAGCCATTGATGACGCACAGCCAGTGATGACACACACATATATTGATAACATACAAGCCATGGAGCCGGTAATGTCTTCCTGATACCAGAAGCTCAGGTATGGGGCTAGGCATCAGAGCATGTGGGTGAGTACTCGTCCAAATACTCGGCATCAGCACTGATACTAGTATTGGTATCGGTGCATCCCTAGTTGGGACTCCTTGCACTGACAGGAAGCCGAGGACTTCTTCCTAGCTGGAGATGCTTGTGTCCGCAGTGAGAGAAATAAGCGGCCGTACCAAACCATCCGGGATGAGGGGTGAGGCCCCCGTAGTAGAGTCGGTCTGGTCCCAGTCCAGGGCAGGAGCTGGTCGGGTCATCTTCATAGAATGTCCTTCTGAAGAACTCTGGTGGGGAATGAGTTCATGGGTTCTCCTATGAAGGATGGGACTGGTCCCCCGGAATATTGTGCACTGAGACAGTTCTTGGTGGGCTTCATGCGGTGAGAACGGTTACAATGTACATTTATATCTTCTCTTTTATTTGTATCAAAATCATTAAAATCATTTATAAAGAGACATTTGTCTGACGTTCATGGTTGGCCCGGGCCGGATTCCATGCCGTATGCTCCTTCTGATTCCTCTTTACATGAATGGTCTGTGACAACACACAACAAGGTATTCCTAAAGAAGAACTCTGGGGTCTAGCCCCGCACTGCCAGGGTGAGGAGGCTGTTTTGTGATGAAGAGGGGGGGGGGTAGGGGGGTAGCCCCACTGCATGGGTTCATTTTTATTCTACTTTAACCCCTTAAGGACAAAGACCTGTTTTTAATTTTTTGCACCCGTGTTATAATCCACATTTTAGGCCTGAAAATTACTTAAAACCCCCACACACGTATTTTCTAAAAGCCGCGACCCTATAGAATAAAATGGTGGCAGTTACACATTTTTATGTTGCACGGGCGCATTAGCGCAACTTATTATAAAACCCAAAAATTTAGTGAAAAATACAGTTAAGTTAAATTTAGAATACTAAATACTCGGATGTGACAGCAGATTCGGATAAATATATTTTTTATTTTCTCGATTTTTATTGGGAATAAATAGTAAAGAATTCCAAAAAATGTATTATCCTCTAATTGTTCCCAGCACAAAGTTTATGTAATTTGCTCCCCGATATTCGGTATATACTCAGCAAAGTCCGCTGATGAAAATGATGTCACATTCCGGCCACTTCTATCTGACATTGCGGAATGGTAAAGCGCAAGGTGAAGGAATGCTTTCTGGTCTACAAGGGATTTATTCCCCTTTTGATGCTACATTGCAAAGCGGGAGGAACACGGCTTACGTAAATTAGGATAAAAGAAAACTTGGGCTGACGAGAGCAGAAAACACCACGGCGGTCACAGGTCTGCGATCTCTGAAGATTCTCATGACATTGGGTTCACTTACTTCAGTCCCAACGTTGGTGTCACTGGAAGTAACATAAAGTCCCATTGTTGGCGTCAGTGATATAAAGTCCCATCGTTGGCGTCAGTGATATAAAGTCCCATTGTTGGCGTCAGTGATATAAAGTCCCATTGTTGGCATCAGTGATATAAAGTCCCATTGTTGGCGTCAGTGATATAAAGTCCCATCGTTGGCGTCAGTGATATAAAGTCCCATCGTTGGTGTCAGTGATATAAAGTCCCATCGTTGGCGTCAGTGATATAAAGTCCCATTGTTGGCGTCAGTGATATAAAGTCCCATCGTTGGCGTCAGTGATATAAAGTCCCATCGTTGGCGTCAGTGATATAAAGTCCCATCGTTGGTGTTTGTCATTGTACAGCCAAAGATATCATATTTTTTGGCTTCTTGTC